CACACCGCACCCTCCTCACGGGTCCAAGTAATGGTGGACTCTACTCAATTCCTCTACTCAAGCTTCAATCACTTCCAAAAATTGCGTTCTCTGCCGTACATGCTTCTTCATAAACCTGGCATCAGAGACTTAGGCATCCACATCACCAAATTTTACAATCTATGTTATCTAAATACAATTTAACTTTAACAAATAAATGTTCTAATGATGTTTGTGACTATTGTTCTATTGGAAAATCATCTAAACTATATTTGTTATCTTCCTCTTACAAAAGTTCACATATTTTAGATCTTGTTTGTTGTGACGTGTGGGGCCCTGCACCAGTTACTTCAAATGATGGTCACAACTATTTTCTGTTATGTATTGACCATTTTTCTAGTTTCATGTGGTTCTTACCATTAAAATAAAAATATGATGTTTTCCCAACTTTTAGAATTTTCTTGGTCATGGCTGAACGACAATTTCAAACAAAGCTTAAAACTGTTTAAACTGATTGGGGTGGGGAATTCCGAATTCTATCTAATTTCTTCTCACCCCTTGATATCATTCATTGACTCTCTTTTCCAAATACAAGTGAGCAAAACGGTTTTGTCGAATGAAGACATCGTCATGTAGTCGAAACTGGGCTTACTTTACTCGCCCAATCTCATGTTCTACAACATTTCTGGCACTTTTCTTTTGAAACAGCTGTGTATCTTATCAACCGCATGTCCTCTCGTAACACTCGCAACATCTCACCCTTTGAACACATCTTTCGATACTAACCCGAATTTTCTTTTCTTCGGGTTTTTGGCTGTAGCTGCTATCCCCATCTCCGTCCATACAACAAACACAAAATGGATTTTTGATCCATTCCTTGTTTCTTTCTAGGCTACAACACTTCCCATCATGGTTATTGTTGTTTTGACCCATTTTCCAAACGCATTTATGTCGCTAGACATGTTCGTTTTACTAAAACCTCATTCCCTTTCCATTCTCCACCAAAGAATCCACCACAACCTGTTCCCGAACCATATGTCTGTTCCTATCCTACTCCTCTACCACCACAAGACCATTCTCCACCTTCTACTACACCAAACACAACCCACAACACCACTCTTTCATAAACCAAACCATACATCCACTTCTAAACAAACATCTTCCTCAAACTTATCTCCTCCTCCCATCATTTATACTTACCATTGTCGACACCATCCACCCTCCAACACCACTTCAAATCAGCCAACCTCTTCTACCCATGAAACTGAACCACAATACCCCATTATACCACAAATGACCACCCATCCCACCACAGCCCACCCACGTACAAGACCGTTTCTGGTTACAAATGGCCTGTTTGGCTATGTTGACGACACAATCCCATGTCCACCTGTTACCATCTCAGTCCAAACCTCAGCCACTGGGAAAGAAACTGACTTTTAATCTGTTACAAAAACCACACAACCCAATCCTCAGTACTTAGCATGGGTCGCCAATGATGCTCATGTACGCATGTTGATTATCACGACTGTCTCTGAAGCCTTATTCCAACACATATAGGGGGCTACTTCTTGAGATCTATGGTTGTCCCTCAACACATATAGGGGGCTACTGATGAATCCTCCCCTGCCTATCTGAACCGGGATAAAGCTTATGTTGATGCTCCTGCTAACATCGGTGAACCTGTAAAAGAAAATGACCTAGTCATGCTTGTTATGTCCGGACTTTGGGAAGAGTATAATGGTCTCAAATCAACCATCTTAACTCGAAAAACTACTATGATACTGAACCTCCTACCTTTACCATTGCTAACACATAGCCATAGTGGTGCTCGGCTATATGTGAGGAATATTCGGCCTTGATACGAAACGGAACTTGGTCGCTAGTTCCACACACCAAAAGTATCAATGTTGTTGATTGCAAATAGGTGTATAAACTAAAAAGAGACGAGACAGGAACGGTGAAGCGATACAGAGCATGTCTTGTTACAAAGGGTTTTCGATAGCAACCGCACATTGATTATCAAGAAACATTTAGCCTGGATGTCAAAGCAACAACCATTCATGTCGTTCTTTCTCTAGCTGTCAGACGAAAATGGTCGTTACGACAGATCGATGTTAAAAATGCATTCCTACATGGTGATCTAAAAGAAATAGTTTATTTGCAACAATCACCTGGTTTTGCTGATCCATCCAATCCGGATCATGTTTTTCTTTTACGCAAGTCATTATACGACCTAAAACAAGCTCCAAGGGCGTGGTTTCATAGGCTTTCTACCGCTCCTCTTGCTCTTGGTTTTCGGGGCCCTCAGACTGACTCGTCATTGTTTATTTATTCTGCACAGAGAGTTCTCATGTACATGCTAGTTTACGTTGATGATATCATTTTGACAGGTAATAATTCTCAAATCATTGATCCAGTTGTACGAAACCTTAGCAAATCATTTTCGGTTCAAGATTTAGGCACCTTGTCCTATTTTTTGGGTGTTGAAATACATTATCAACTAGATTCTATAATTTTGTCTCAACGCAAATACATTCTTGAATTGCTGCAACATGCTGCTCTTTCTACAACCAAACCAGTTTCATCTCCAATAACAACGACTGCTAATTTGTCCATTGGGGATAGTAAGGCCTTTGACAACCCGATTCGATATAGACAGATCGTTGGTGCTCTTCAATATGTCACACTTTCTAGGCCTGGCATCACTTTTGTGGTAAATAATGTCTGCCAATTTATGCACTCTACAACAAAAAATCACTGGTCAGTTGTCAAGCGTATATTGTGCTACGTGCAGGGTACAATCTCTTACAGGTTGCGCCTTCATCGTAACTCTGATCTTCAACTTCATGCATATACAAACTCTACTAATCTCTCCATAACAACTTATTCCAATGCTGAATGGGTTGGGTGCCCTGATGACCGTCGATCCACCGAGGGATATGTAATCTATCTTGGTTCTAACCTTGTTTCCTGGTCTGCTCGTAAACAACGCACCGTCACTCGATCATCAATGGAATCTGAATACAAAGCTCTTGCTGATACAGTGGCTGAGCTAACTTGGATTGAAGAACTTCTGGGAGAACTTTGTGTTTCCCTCAAGAGAGTTCCTACATTATGGTGTGATAATCTAGGTGCTACATATCTTTCAGCAAATCCAGTATTTCATGCACGTACCAAACATGTCGAGGTCGATTTTCACTTTGTCCGCGAAAAGGTCGCACAAGGAAAGCTCTCAGTTCAATACATCTCTACAGGTGATCAGATAGCAGATGTCTTCACAAAGCCACTGCCCTCACAACGTTTTCTCCTATTACGATCCAAGCTAAAGCTTGCTCCCCGATCTTAGCTTGAGGGGGAATATTATACAATATTTGTAATCATTGTTAGTATAGGGACTAGAGTGTAAATGACTCAATTATATATCCACATGATGTAATATATCATTAACACAATTCATAATACAATTCTATTTACCAAGATTAACTCAAACGCACACCTCTAAGAGCAGGTGCAAGATTGAGCACCATCAACAACCAAGAATTGTAAGAGTTAGATACTCATTTGAAAGGACATAAGAGTTACAATTATTACTAGGATGAAAAGATAATGTATGGAGTCATTATACAAGCCCTGTTTTGTTGATGATTCCGAGACGTAATCGTCCTAAGGGGGAGATAATTGTAACACCCACATATTCGGGCTAGTCAATCTACAGATAATAAGCATCAAAAATGACTTTTTGATAGAAGATTATTTAGGATAAATAATCTTTAACAAACACTACTAGAAAAAAGGCCTTTTACGACGCGCAAAACACGACGCTCTTTGATTTATGTTACGCATTAGAGAGCGACATTAAAAAAGTGTCATCTCTTCAAAAATTTTAAGGATTTAGGTCGCGCATTACTGAGTGCCCTTAAATTAGTGTCTCATGTAAAAATATTAAAAACACGGAGGGCACCTATAATAAAACGGGCGTCCTCTATAAATGTCGCTTTATAATTTTAATAAATGCACGTTTCTGGGACTCCTTGATAGGTAAGGGGGGAAACTAAATCCCCCAAAATTTTGAACACCCGCTTCCTCTTCCTCTCTACTCTCTACACCTGCCAAAATCGACTTCATTCTCTCCCTTCTTTCTCTCTGCAAACCCCTTCCTCTCCGATCGACTTTCACTTCCATCTATGTGCAAACCCTAATCAAACATAACACATTTGAAATATTAATATCTTCTTTCACAAAATAGAAGATTGATCGAAGAATGATTTTGTTTTGATGAATCGGACATCACCAACAACAATAGCTTCCATCACAATTTGTGTTTGCTTTCAGACTCCACCGTTACAACATCGCACCACAACACCAGCCCTGAGCCACCACCACACTGCCTTCGCAACAACCCAGAACCACCACTATACCACCACTGTTGCCTATTTCATCTGCGTAGTAGGCCTATTTCAAAGGTAATTCTTCCTTTTTCAACCATAGTTACCTGTTTCATGTCCTACTGGTCCTTCTTTTTGGACGATTTTTTGTGCCTTTTTACCAATCTCTCATATATTTTCATGGAATTGTTAATATTTTATGATATAAGTACCTGATTTTTTTATGCACACTAGGTGTTTGACTAAATGTTTGAACCAAAAGGGGATTGTCCAAAGATTAATGAACAAGGTTCAAAGCAACCTGCCACAGTGACAACCTCACAGGTAAATAAAAATTTATGTATTCCTATTAGATTCAATTTACTATTATTATAGATACACATGAGTAGTAATCAGCTAATTGTGTTTTGATAATGATAAAAAAATCAATTTAGTGTTTAGGAGTTGGAATTTAATTTATGTAATAGGAATTGAATCTCATTTACTTACAATTTCTAAACTGATTTGATTCCCTTTACTATCTCAATATGAGAATCCAGCAATAAGGTCAGAACTGTGATCTGTTACTGTAGAGTTGCTAACTAAAACCTGTGTCCAAACTCTAGAAGGTCACACACACAATGTTTCTGCTGTATGTTTCCATCTCGAGCTTCCAATAATAATGACAGGTTCACAAGATGGTACTGTCCGTATATGGCATTCAACCAGTTACAAGTGAGCTCTTGTTTTTTTACCTTTAAGGGTGTGTTTGTTTTGTAGATTCTAAAAGAATCGGAATGCTAGATTCCATTCCATGGTGTGTTTGGTTTCCAAATGGATGGAATTCAATTTTTGTTAGATTCCTTCAAATTCCATGTTTGATGGATGGAAGGAATTCAATTTCTTTCTTCATTTCCTATCAAAAGACCAAAATACCCTCGTTATACATATGTTAAAAATGTAAACTTTTTGACTTTATGCCACTCTTTTTTTTTTATTCAGACTTGAGAATACCGTGAACTATGGACTTGAAAGGGTTTGGGCTGTTGGATACATGAAAGGTTCACGTCGGTAAGTTTGTATAGCACTTTTCGTTTTTTGTTTTGTGGGTCTTGAATCTTGATGCTTCTTCATTCATCTGGATTTATTTTAATTACTGTTTTTACAGGATTGTTATTGGCTATGATGAAGGAACCATAATGGTGAAAATTGGACGTGAAGAGCCTGTAGCCAGCATGGACCATAGTGGAAAAATTATATGGGCTAAACATAATGAAATTCAAACTATTAACATCAAGAGTGTGGGAGCTGATCATGAGGTTTGGACTTTAAAGCCCATATACATGTTATGTTATGTTAACAATGAAATGGGAAAAAAAATCTATTTTTTATTCAGGTTTCTGATGGAGAGAGGCTGCCTTTACCAGTTAAAGAACTGGGAACATGTGATCTTTATCCACAAGTGAGTTATGCTTGTTCCTACCTTCCTTTAAACTGAAAATAGTCAACCATATGGACTTTGACTTTTCTATTTTTCCACAGAGCTTGAAGCACAACGCAAATAGGAGGTATGTTGTTGTCTGTGGTGATGGTGAATACATCATATACACAGCTTTGGCATGAAGTACTGGTTGGTAAAAAATTCGTGGGGTGCTAGAAAGTATCACCCGAAAAACGATGGGCCAAAGGTAATATCTGTTGTTATATTGACTATTTTGCCCTTATTGTTTTTTATGGATCTGATTTATTTTTTTTACAATTACAGGTTTCGTTTTTTAGTGATGATGAAGAGACTACCAGCACACCAAAAGCAGATGCTCTTTTTATTCCAAGGGAGAATCCAAGAGCTCTGGTTATTCGCCCTCTTAAACAATGGCCTGGCAAATCATCTGCTGAAAAATTAAAAAACGCATCTTCTCCAGCACAAACAAACGGTAAACTAATTTTCTGCTGCTACCTTAAAAATAAAAATAATCATTTTTTATCTCATTTTTTTTATTTGAATTCAGGTGATTACACTGGGTTTGCTTCTTCCGCATTGTTATAGGCAGGCGCTAATCAACCCGTATCAGTTGCCATTGATGCCAGTGGCATGGGTTTCCAGTTCTATTCAGGTGGCGTGTTTACTGGGGATTTTGGAACTGATCTTGACCATGGTGTTACAAGCTTGTTGAATAAAATGGAGTTATATGTGGTTGTGTATATACTTGCAATCTTAGGCTTGGATAGTCTACAAGGAATCATGCTGGATCAAGGCAGCTGTATTGATACCTGTTGTACTTTTTGCAGGAAGGTAATTAAACTTTATTATTATTATTATTATTATTATTATTACTATTAATTACAAGTGTAACATGTTTTAAGTAAATTTTCATTCCTTCTACAGCCCTATTACAAATGATACGTGGCTCTGCAGTTCTTTAAGTTGTCACCAGAAGAATCATCAAAGGATCCATTATATCTTTTGAGGGACATGTCCAATAACGATAACAAAAACTAAAATCAAGTAAAAATGTTTGCTAAAATGCTTGTAATTTTATTATATATTTGGCTTATATAGGGATGCCATGGGATACAAAAGGGGACATTTTGTTTTAATTGCAAAAGTAATCATTTCTGCACTAGGCTACTTGATGCTGGGAACTTTTATTTATGTGCTTATCGTTGATGGATCTACATTCAATGCCAATGTATTATCAAGGTACCATTTAAAATTTCCCTTTTATTTAATTTATGTAAAAAAGTGTAATAGTAAATGCTCATACATAGTTGTAAATGCTCACAGGTGCATGATAGCAACAACAACCGATTTCTATTTTTGTATTGTCATTGTAGCAGTAAGTCTTTGTTTATTATATACTTTCCAACTATAGTGAAAAGGAGATTTTTCGACTTTTGTTATAACAATAATGTTTGATTGCTTCTTTTGATCAGGTGTGGATTGCATATAAGGAATCAAGGTGGATAAGTGCTTTCTTTTGGATACTTTCACTTCTATCTTTTTGGAGGGTAAGCATATATAGAAACTAGCTCACTTTCCTTTTTTCACTCTCTTAAGTATATAACTATATATGGGATGTTGTTTGGATTTACAACTCAAGGAATCATGGTATATTTCCAGGACCCTGAAATCATTTACATTGTCTTATTTTCTCAAAATATTAATTGTTTATGTTGCTTCCAAATACAAGGTATGAAAAGCTGCAACGGTGGGATGATGCCCTTAAAGCATACACTGCAAAATCTGCTCAAGCAACAAGTCAACGTCTTATCTTGGATGCTACACTAGGTATTATTAAAGTATACCATGCCATGGTGTTATAGTATTTATATTATTATCATTTCAAGGTAATTAATTAAAATATTTGTTCATTCTTATGACGAATGAGGAGTCAGTGACAGATGGGTATATATTATATAATCAAAACACTATAATTATATTTTTTTTTACTGTAAGTAAATTATTTGAGTTAAAATGGCATGAATGATTTCAGGTAAATAGGGATGGTAATTCTGAAAATGGCTCCCATATATGTGAACAATATCCATTTTCAGTAAATGAGAAGGTTGTTATTTTTATTTATTTCACTTTTGTTTTCTATGTGAAGATATACTGACAAAAAATACATTACATGACATGATATGTTGGTTGAGTAGCTTTACATGTTCTAATGGGTGGTGTTAGATGGAATTGTGATGATATACTCTCTAGTTTATATGATCAAAGATTGTCATTGTGAATATCGTTGTTGATAGCCTTACAGATAATATTTACCATTTGTATGTGGGTATTCTTGTCATTGTGTTTGTCATTGTTGATATTAGGTAATTCATATTGTAGTGTATTTATTCCAAATCCCAAATTCTTTGGATGGAGAGAAGGGTAATTTCGTCTTTTACAACTAACATTCCAAGTTTGATTCTTCTAATAATTGTATTAACATATTAATTTTTTGACTTTTATTTGATCAGGTCACAAGAATTATCGGAGCAGGGGTTCAATATTAGTCTTAAAGAAGTATGAAAGGCAAGATGCAACTCTACTTAGTTGGAATTTGATGTTTATCATCTTTGTGTATATCTTTTTAGTTTGTATAGCATTACATTGCATAAGGTGTCCCTTAATAGCAATTTAGTATTATGTTATATATTTAGGGAAAACCTCTTAATAACAATGTACAATTAGATCCCCTTAATATAAATGTATTACAATTTTTTGACATGATGTTTTTGGTATATATTTGTTTACATATGGAATGATTATTTGTATGACATTAAATTTATGCAATGGATTCTATTTTTGTATATGATATTTTATTATCTATTATTAAACATTAAATACAAATTTAATTTGAAAATAAGCAAATCTATAAATAATATTTTTTTAAACATTTAAAATTATGATACGCAAAAATGTGTGTCATCTTCATTTATGACATGGCCTTTCTTAACAGGGGCTTCCTTGATACGCATTGCGTGTCATAAACACGCGCATCATAAGGTTACGACACGCAAATGCGTGTCGTCTTCCTTTATGACAGGGCCTTCCTTGATACGCATTGCGTGTCATAACCGCGCGTCGTAAATGCGCGTCATAAATGCGCGTCGTCTCTCTTTATGACAGGGCCTTCCTTGACACGCATTTGCACGTCGTCTGAGCGTTTTACGACGCGCAATGAGCGTCGTAAAAGGCCTTTTTTCTAGTAGTGAAATTTATATTATAATCCTTCCGTCCCAAAATTATTGTCCATGTTTGACTTTTTAAGTCTCTTTTGTTCAACTTTGAAATTAAATAATTTACTTTTTGTTATATAATTTTTTTATTCAAGATATATGAATAGATTGTTTTTTAAATGTATTTTTACTGTTATAAATATCATCTAAAAATATATAACACAAATAAAATTATTTATAATCAAAGTTGACATGGAAAGATTTCAAAAGTCAAACATGGACAATAATCTTGGGATGGGGGAAGTATGTCACAAGGATTCCGTACATATAAAGAATGCTGAAATCCGACTTATAACGAAGAAGTTATACCCATCGAAGTTTTGCGATCAAAAAGAAAGTTGTAGATCTTGTCAATACCTACGCGTGGATATAAATAACGTCAAAAATGGAGCTCGTATGCGAAAGTTATGAATTTTTTAAGATTAGTTGTTTTACCTGCATCCTGCGCCACGTGTCAGCACCAGGCTTCACCTTGGTGCCTACTCAAGACACACGACGTGAGAGGCATGTCTAACGAAGTGAGAGGCCCCTGTACAACCTATACATAGAGTCCAAATTCACTCATTTCATCACACCTTTCAACTCCATTCTCTCCCAAAACCCCAAGGTCCTAAGACCTTTTCTCTAGCACCTCCTAGGTGTTAGTAGCGAAGCTCGAAGCACCAGAAAGCCCCGAGGAGAAGAGCTTTCGGCTCAAAAGCTATGCTCGTGTAGATCCCGACTCCTCGCTAAACCCCCATTAAGTGAGTTATGCATACCATACTTTAAGTATAACTTATGGTTAATTTCATTATTGTTATTATGAACCCATAAACAAGATTTATTAGTGATTCCAAGTCGTTATACTAGTTGATCTACTTATAGGAGAGGTGTCTAGAATGATCACATTGGCTTGGTTGTTGGATTTCAGAAAGGCTATATGCCGAAATGGTCCTGCCTCCCAACTGTCCTACTTGGTTGATCCTTGCTTGATAGATCATGAAATTAGACTTTAAGTTAATGGTAAATCTAGACTAATAACTAGTTGCAATAAATATTAGACTAAAATCTAGTAATAATAGTACTAGGTTTCGTTGAAGGAAAAGAAAATTGTTAGAAGCGAAGCGCTGCCCAAATTTCGAATCATCACTTTAACAAGTGAGTGCATAGTCCCTTTCATGAACATGATTTTAATACAAGTATTAATAAAGGTATTAAATATATGTTGAAAGTTTATATGCGAGTTATATGCTTATTATCTGGAAATAGGTGCTGTATGTATATTTGATGATATATGCAATGCGAACCATACATGGTTCTATATGTGTTAAGATGTATTTACATGATAATAATAATAGAAGTACTATAAATGAGAAGATAAATGTATGTGTAACAACCTGACTCCTAGGTATAAATTTTAGAGCTTTATATTCATATTTAAAGACCTACTCGATGAGTTAGATGCCCCCAACTCGTCGTGTAGAAACGAATATGGCCACGTGACTTAAGGGACCTACTTGACGAGTTGGAGGACCCAACTCGACGAGTTGGAGCTGAAATGTGAAACCCTAATTTCCAGGGGTTTTCATCATATTTAAAGGCTCATTAGGCACCCTCTACCTCTCTTATCGCCCTCATTGACCTCAGAAAACCCTAATCATGTATTACTACCCAATTGTGTTTGTGTGTGTGTGTAAAATCTTGGAAGGTAGTTTTAGTGCAAGGAACTTGAAGAATCAAGAGCTTGGATCAAGGAGAAGCTTGTAGACCCAGTACCTACTCCATTTTGGCTTCCATTTGAAGGTAACAAGTTGTTACCTTGATCATTCTAGCGTTAGATCTCCTCATTCAAGGGTTTAAAGCCATTTCAAGCATATCTGTGGTTCATTTATGGTATTGAGCATGATCTGAAGTTGTAACTACATATCTAGACTCCTCTAAGCCCACATAGTCATAAAGTTATCGAATTTATCATTCTTTGACCCTTCTCTTTGGCTTAAAACTCTTCCTTAGCTTGGTTTTTGCATTTAAGGCCTTGCATGCACATAAAGTTTGCAACTTTACATGGTAACCATGCCCTAGGAGGCTAGATCTACAATTTAGAGCCTCAGTCTTGCTTAAAAGCGTCTGAATAAGAAAAGGACTGAAGGGACTCGACGAGTTGCATGGTCAACTCGATGAGTCAGATGAAGATTGCATGTTTTTGGTTCTGCATGGACTTGGCGAGTCAGTGAGATGACTCAACAAGTTGGTTAGGGTTTCCCGACATTTTGGTCACTGCATGAACTCGATGAGTTGTCTGGAAACTTGGCCAGTCAACTGGGGTTCTCACAATTCTTTGAGTTCGGAAGGAACTCGACGAGTCAATGGATGTACTCGACGAGTTGAGTCAACATAGACTATTACCTTGACCTAGGGATGTCAACGGGGGCAAACGGGGCGGGGATTGCATCCCCCACCCCCACCCCAAAATTTTCCTGTTCCCCGCCCCCGCCCCCGCCCCAAAATTTCTAGCCTCCCCATCCCCGCCCCCGCCCCTGAATCCCAGGATTACCCACGCCCCCGCCCTCGTTTTCCCGCCCCCGTTTGGGTTGACTTTTTTTTGGCGAACGAAGGTGTTGGTGATGCTAAAAGAAGTTATTTTTTGAGCTAAAAAAACCATTTTGGATAAAAATAGTTATTTATAGCATAAGTTTATATATTTAAAATAAAAATATTATAACATCTTAAAAATGTTATACTATAAGCTTAAAAACATGATATTTAATTGAATTTTGGAAGTTCAAAATCATTGTTATTATTTATTATATTTTTATAATTAATATATATTAATATAAATAATATATTAACGGGGTCCCCATTGGGGTTTCAGGACGGGACTACCCACCCCCGCCCCCGCCCCGCCCCCGTCCCCGATTTTTTAAACAAATATTCCTCATTCGAGATCGGGGCCCCACGGGTTGAGGGTCCCACGGGACTTTTTGACATCCCTACCTTGACCGTTGACTTTAACTTTGACCAATGGTTGACTAGTTTGACTTCTGGGTTGTATTTTAGTAATTTGGAAATTTATGGATGTGGATCATTGGTGGATGTAGGTGTTTGAGTTTGGAGTTGTATTTGGGGAGTTAGACTGTAACACCGTGATTTTCAAGGCAAAATTTTCATTTAATTAATCAAATTAATATTAAATCACTTGTTTAAAATCTCATACACATTTGAATTACAAAAACATAGTTCCATTTTCACTTAGTAGAAAACCAGGATCCTCCAGAATACAACTCTTTCTTTGGTGTGTACAATCGAGCCGGTGCCATCCCGCGTTACTAAAAGAACCTGAAACAACATACATAAAACACTGTAAGCACGAAGCTTAGTGAGTTCCCCAATATACACCTTACGCACATACGCCTTTCCAGGCTCTGACCTTCCGGTGCACTGCACAATGCCTTCCGGCCCATAACGTGTTGCCTTCCGGTCCATAGTACATTGCCTTCCGGCCCATAACATATTGCCTTCCGGCCCATAACATATTGCCTTCCGGCCCATAACATATTGCCTTCCGGCCCAAAAACATATACGGCACATAATACATTTACTCTAACACATAAAGCACATATATCATATATCATACCTGACCTTGCTGTCACATAACACTTTGCCTTCCGGCCCATATAAACATGCATATCACACGTAGCAACTAACTTTACATTTGTAGCATATATACATAACACATAACATATTCGACCTTCCGGTCACACAATCAAACCCTTCCGGGTACAGTATAGTGAGAAGACTCACCTCGTGGATACTGAAAGCTAGCAACTCCTGAAATCCCTCGTACTCGATCCGCCGTGCTACAGACTCCCTGTAATATCGTACGTCCCTTATTAACACTTTTATCTTTCAAGACAACTGACCCTAAGAAATCACACCTAGGTCAACTCTGGTCAACAGTCCACGGTCAACTCGACCGGACTCGGCGAGTACCCTGGCGACTCGGCGAGTCTAGTCATCCTCCAGTCCTCTAAAGTTTCCCTTCTACTCGTCGAGTATCCTCCTTGACCCGACGAGTTACTCCTGGAAGAATCGCGGGGCCACCCTTACTCCACTCGCCGAGTTTGAAGAACAACTCGACGAGTCCCAGCTATTCTTCAAGCTACTCGCCGAGTCTGCTCATCCGACTCGGCGAGTCCATGCCATGCAGTCGATCAAACTGCTTCCTAAGATCAGAATCGTCCCGACCAATCATAGGTCTGGTCCTCCTAAGCTGGTCCATCACAAAAGGCCTTCATTTAGGTGCTCATGCTA